TACACTGTACAGCGGAATAAAAGCATGAAATCATGAGTTGTAGTTCATCTGCGATAACGGAACCGTTTAAAGTGAAACCACAACTGGAAGATGGTATTGTGAAATTGGCAGCGGAATCCGTGCTTATAGGAGTACTCCCACTCGCGGTTGACAATCTTGAAGGCAATATCCTCGTAGGGTGGCCCAGCAACAAAGCGCAGGACAGCAAAGTCCGGTTCATCTTTACAGGGCGTAAGAGTGTATGTGGGCGCCTTGGTTTTATCTATCAAGTCGGGATAAAATATGTTGAATTTGTAGCCCTGAACAATCTTGGGCGGCGGATTGTCCAGATCGTAGTGAGTCTGGTTGTACTTGTTCCAGACAAAGCCTGTGTGTACGCGATTAAAGAATCGTGGTTTTCTTGGACGGTATTTATCTGACCACAAGAAAGACTGATCCTCGAGAGGAACCTGAAGACAGTAAAAAAAACGGAAGGTTAATGGTATGTTGGGCGGGCAAAATAGATCCAATTGTGATTAAATTCACGGCGCACGGCGAGCTTCGTAGCTTAATTTGTAGAGCGTTGGCTGCGCAAAAGCTTTCCCTGCCGTGTGGGTTCGAGTCCCACCGATGCCGTGAATTTTTCCCAATTAGGTCAGCTGGGTTAGTAGTAACTTGGTGATCGACAAGAGCAGCATAGTCATAATCAGTACAAGATCACGATAACCTCCGGCTACTGATTCCAATGTCAGTATCTTGGATACACCATTCGTAGTTGTTCCCATAAACTGACACTAGCGAGCCCTTAAATCGCTTTTGCGCAGTTAGGTAAAAAAGAATAAGTATAAGTGTAAACTCCTTCTTGTTTGTCTTCCACTAGTCTGGATGAATTCCGCACTCAAGAGCCACCGATAAGTTTTACGGTGGTTACACAAATATTGGGAAATGATGTATAGTCAAATCCGGCGGATAATGGAGATCCGCGTAAAAGCACTCATAACTGCCTATTTTAATGTTCAAACACCAAATGTACACTATCATCCTAAAACTTCCTGAGATTATTTAGCAAAATTGATTTGTAGGGCTCCTCAATATATCTACCCCCCCGCCCAACTGCTTAACGTATTTTGTGGTCAAACATTTAATTCTTGGCTAATGAGCGTAAATTAATACGTAGTTGTGGCGGAAGTGATCAAAAAATATTAAATTAAATAGGATTATGTTTGTTTTAATATGCTAAAATAGAATAAATTCGATCAACATAAACTTCTATTGCGCAGGATACGAATGCTAATCGAGAGAAATTTGACCTTATGTAGGCGGAATTTAACGAAAATGGAAATTTGCCCTCCTGTTGGTGGAATTTAACGAAAACATTTAGTTAGGCTACCGAACATTTAAAAGTAGATTTTTATTAGAAGTCGACAGGATTTTTGGGGCCTCTAAAATCAAGCTGGCCGATTATTTAAACGTCATCTTACAACATTACCCTTAACAATATATGACTTACAGGTACGCGTGAACACACCAACAATTGTCACTGTTACCACGGCGAAAACTAATCAAGTTACCCCCACATTCAGGCACACACGCATTTACTATTTGAAAATAAGTAAATCATTTTCTATCATCAAAAATATAGTTAAGAAAATAATCAGCGAATACTTAAGGAATGCTCTATGAAAAGAAACCTGTGGACTCTAAACCGCAAATAGGCGGGGGCCAATTATACTGCAGCAGATACCCCGTAGATGTAGGACAATGCCAAAAACACCAAACCATGTATGCCAACACGAAAGAAAGAATTAAAAAGGCAACAAGGTGAGGGGGTAGTGATGAGAGCTTACCTGAACGCTGAATTCAGAGTCCCCTTCCTCGATTCCAGCACGGGCACGTTTCAGCATTTCCTCCTCGGCACTGCGCCGCAATGCACCAGTGTGACGGACATCTTGGCGCTGCAATTTGGTGTGAGAGGATTGTTGAAAAATCAGTATAAAATCAGAAATGTTAAAGCAGAAGCCGCGCTTCTGAAAGGAATCGAAATTGACGAGTTTTAGATGGATGAAATCTTAGCGAAATTGCAAGCATTTACATGCACCAGTCGATAGTTCGAGTCGTTCTAGAAATTGATGCTGAGACGGCGGTGGGTGACTGAGCTAGGCAGCCCACCTTTGTGTACCAGAAACCCCGCACATCACATAAATATCAGAAAATGATGAAGAGTCAACTATTTAAATGTTCAAACACTAAATGTACACTAAGATTATTTCAAGTTCATCTTATAATACCTGTAGATAATAAACCGCAAGTAGGCGGGGGTCAAGTATACTGCCCCCAGATACCTTCATGGAAATAGGATAGTACCAAAAATACCACACGAGGTATGCCAGCAAGAAATAAATAATTCAAAAGCAAGAATCTTATTGAAATGGCTAGCATTTACAGTCGAGAGTCCGGGTCGGTCTAGCAACTGATGCTGAGAGCGGCCACGGTGGTAAGCAGCCCACCTGTGCGTGCCAAACACACAACTCGACTCCACAGAGCACACACGCAAAGTTGCACACAAGGGGGGGGGGAGGGGAGAGCGACTCGGATCTGGCATGCGTATTAATGCTAACGAGAGGGAGCCGTTGCAGCCTGTCGCTCAGGTCACAAGTCGGCTACTCCACAAGAAAAACACCGTGGGCCGGCTGCGAGGTTTCAGTTGATACACCAGCTCAGTGCGTGCTAATGTCGGGTGGCCGACCGGTGGACTAAAGATCAGTTTACAGTGGATCCTGCTTAACGTGGCCTACATGTAACGTAGTCTTATATAAACCACTGTCCGCGATCAATTTGTTTAACCGACACGAAGCAACCGGAACACCATCACCACCACCACTGCTGCAATGACCTAGGTAATTAAATATAACTGCAAACATATACTTAAGGGACATAGCCTCTCTCACCTGATACTCGAGCTTCGCTAGGTCGTCATGCGAATCATAAATGACAGCGTCTATTTCAATATCTGCCTGCTG